GCAATCGAGTAAATATCCCTCGGCTTAACCGGAAAACTAGCGGGTGTCACGAGCAGCGTCCTTACGTTCGCCGCCCCAGAGGTAACTTATGTAATTACCCTCGCTCGCTCTCTCCCCCTCTCTCTCCCGCTCTTTCTCTCGGGCTGCGCCCTCTCACCCAGTTTTCGTGCGCGCATTAACAGCTCCGAAATCGAAATTTGTGCGGGTCTCAACCGCAATTCGTGCGATCGTACAGCTCGTACGTTCCCTGGTGTGAATTTACCGTGAAAGCGCGTCGACGCGTTTTAGCGAGCGTCGCTCAAGTAGCGATCGAACGCAAATGACACGAACTCGTCGAACCGATTGGTGTCACGGGAATTATACGCTTGGCTTTTAACTTTGAAATGTGTTAATTTGAACTGGGATTAATTTCTCATTCGCGCCAGACGGAGCCTAACGCGCGAATGACAGAGCAACGCCAAATTTGCTGCGCGTATCAATCTCTATGCCACTCGAACGAGTTAATCCAAATCCAGATCGTGCCTAAAATTTAGTTTTATGACCGTAGTGTTCATTTGAGAGAAACAGTGTCGAGAGCCGCCCTCGAGAGTTGTCACTCTCGACATTTGCAAATGGACACACTATTCAAGAGCACTACAGAGAATACTCCCCCTATTTTTGAGAGCTACTCTCCGGGGAGAGCACGTAGCTTTAGCCTCTTTATTTCCGAAAGTTATTCCGAAACGGATGCTAAAGTTTCCTACGTTCTCAAGTAGACGCGGGCGGAGTCGGGTTAAATTTGACAGTGAATCAGATCGGATATTTTCGCAGCTCTATTATGCGGGCGCTGGCCGCAGGCATTGGTAACGATACTTGGCAACTGATCAAACATATATTGATTATATTAACGCAAGAGTCTGCTTTATTGGCCTAGCGAGTATCATAAACATGTCCAGGAAATGCCCGGAGCGTTCAAAATGAGTTTTTGTACCTTGTCGCGTCGTAATTATGTCGGGCGTAATCGGCAGAGTTTTGCACTTGAAATTGCACCCTCTTTTCTTCGCGAATTATCAGAAAACAGCAAGCAGCTTTAATTAGCACCGAGGAAAGATACCGATAAATTTCCATTTTATTTTTCGCAAGTAATTTTTCTACTTTTTTCAACAATTCTTATCTTTTTTTTTTTTTA